ATTTTATAACTTTGCAAAGAAAGGTCATGTAGAGTTGCGAGAGGTCTCATTTTAATCAGAAATGTGCGGGCTACAATCGTGCCTCATTAAGAACGGTTCGGATTATTTTTGGGGGTTTCTGAAAAACTCGTTTTCTAGAAAACCAGGTCTTCGAAGGACTATGCGGAAGCCGCATGGTCGTATTCGTAATCAGCATGGTCGATAACCTATAACCCACTAGATTCCGAGCAAAAAGCGTTTAATCACTTCGTGGGGTTCCCTCGTTAGACTACTAATAAGTTGAGCTCAGTAAAGTTTTAGGTCTTTACCATTGACCATTTAAATATGTATTTATTTTTTCTAAAATGATACAATCGATGTTGATCGAGTTGTAATTATAGTTTCACTTAGTGAAGATTTTCGTTTTTGATCGTATCTTCTTTTAATATTAAGACAACTACGTCCAATTAATGACGAATTTCGAAATTCAGACATATAAATATTAGACGGAGAAACATAAATAAGAAATGTAAATGTAAATGGTATAACAAATAAAAATGTAAGTCCAATGTATGTACGTAATGATGCAATGTAATCAAAGTGAATACAATTGTATACCCATTTTGTATATACAATATGTGGTATATGACAGCTCATGCACACAATAGGTGGAATGAAAAAGTAACGATGTTTTGATAATTGTTGAAACCATACATGCCAATAGTTATTTTGATTTGAAAGATAAACCTTACGTCGAGCAATATTTGTTAATACAAATAAACTGGATATAACATGTAAAAACCATGGAACTAAACGATGTATGTAGCCAAATATTAGAGAAATCTTCTTTATATTTGGTTTTGAGGAGCCGATAACATCTGGTAAATTTGTTAACACAGCAATAATAATAAGGATAAAGGTAGATACCAGTGAACGTTTCCTTGAAGCATACAGATGAAAGTTAAAATATTCAATTAATGCACGTTCAAATGAAATAAAACTATTTAACCAAAAGCCAGTATCAACCATCATAGGAATAATTTTTAGCAAATAAGTAATACTCATACTGTACGACACTAATGTTTCACTAATAAGTATTACCTCTATAAATATGCAACATATAAAACATAGTATTGAAAGCAATATTAAATATATACCACAATTCGTTAAACGAATTTTTTGACACAGAAATGTTTGTAAACATAGAAAATTGTTCAGACTAGCTATAAACATCAGTATGTGCATTAAAATAAGATATACTAATGTTCTATTGGGATCATCTTTTCTAAAAGCCAAAAATGGAAAAATAGATATTATATCATTATTTTGTTCACATAATTCACCACTAAAACATGTTGGACATGAACAATGCAAACTATTAGTAACATTTATAATATGATAGCATCGACCATTATTTGAGCAAATATTTTCTGTACAAAGTGTGAATGTATCTGATAAATTCATAATTTTATAAATTAGTTTAAAAAAAAATCATGATATTTTACTTCTCTGTCATTTAAGAATCACAGTGCACATATGCAGACAGATGAAAAGAAGTCACGTTTTGTCTTGTTTCTGTTCTGCGAATAAATAATCATTTTGTTAAGGAATAAAATCACTTCATATAAACGAAAAAAGAAATTATTAGAATGTCAGGAGTAGGTTTTTGTGCATGACTGTTATTTTTACTTGCAGTTGATATCACAAAATAAATATTTATTGAAATAGTGAAGAAATATAATGTTTCTTTTCTAAAAGTCATACATGACATTATTGAGTGGGATACGATAAATTTATTTATAGGGTTTAAGCTTCCAATACGTTCTTTTTTCTTTTTAATAGATTTAAACTTTTTAAGACAACAATATTTGAATACATAATAAATCGTTTACAACAGTTATGATCATGACTAGTAAATATTCTGTTTCGTTCCACTTAATTTAGTTTATAGAGAAACCAAAATATACAAACTGTATTTTATGAAAATATGAATGTAACCACTATCTTTTTCAATTTATTTAGCTCGCGCCTGTGTGAATAACTCGAGAACGAAACGTAATAGAAATACGCGGTTTCCGTCATTCAATAGCCAAGACGTTAGAGCATCTTTTTCATAAGCAGAATACATGCTGGAAAACCTGTTATTAATACGCCAGGATTGCTACGCACACGAGTGACGACCATGGGAATATCAATGACAGCAGCATACATTTATGTCATGTTACTTTAAGAATGCGCTCCAATACGGATTTATGTCCTTGTCTCCAAGGAGTCAATCTATTATCAGATGAGGGTGTATTAAGTGGTATATCCAGAGGGGTTAGAATACACAAAAACTGTGTAAAATGAAATGTACTGCAGAAATACGTTGATAAATTGTAACTATAAGCTAGTAGAGGGCTAAGAGGGACTTCCCGAGGTGATAAACATATTTACGTTGCATGATGAACCTTAATACGTGTAGACTGACAGAGTCACGAGGGAACCTCTCTAGGTATTAAATCGCTTTTTGATCGAAATCTGGTGGGTCATAAGTTATTGATCATGCTGATTCCGAATATGACCATGGGGGTTACCCATAGCCCTTCGAAGATCTGTTTTTCTGGAAAACTACTTTTTTAGAAAATTTCTTTTAGGCTTTTTACTAGCTCGATACTCTCTATCGATCGAGGTATAAACGAAACCGGAAGGTAGAGATAACCGTCTTCATTTATCATCAATAAAATATAGAAATGAAATAGAGCTCATATATTTAGATCATCACTTGGATAGATTTCCTCGTGAGTGACTATCTAGACTTTTACACAGTACTGGTTCATGACTAATATATTGTATCGTGGTCGAACGAACTTTTACTGGATGTTTCAATGTCAGCTTACATGCTTTAAGAAGACGTTCGATAATCGCATACATTGTTTTTTCTGACGGTCATTCCACCCGCATGCGTTGCAGTGAGAACATTATTCTGGCTTTATATACAGACTTCTAATCACATGCTCCTCGTTTGGGATAATACTCTTATACTAGCATCGTGGCCACTACAGATTATCGGCAATATCATTGCATTAGGATATATTGTTATGCAAAACTATATCAGGGCTCTGCCAACTAACTTTTTTGCATCCATTACGTTCTTCTCGGATCGAAGTATTATCTATGTTTTTTGATATTGGTGACTAATGCAACGCAATATCCGGTAATATGCTAATAGCAGTTCGTTGAATGTTTTCACACTAGTATACTGCATTTCCGTATTGTCGCGTCATCATCGGTGTTAATTACTTTTCCTAAAAACATGAAATGTCATAATAAGAAGGAGCAACAACTCATTGAAATGCATTGAGTGATGATCGTGTTTATTTAGTTTCTTGAAAAATAAGTATATGGCTTAATAAACAAGATTATGACTGAAAAAAGAAAAACACAGTATATGGTTTACTTTTTAATATGCAATTTATCATCCCTTTCTGTTTCAAAAGAGAGCTAAATTAATAGTAATACATACCGATTATTAATAAAACAATCTTTAGCAATTTTAAGTCATAAACCTATGCTAAACAATACAAAAAGTTCTATTATATTTTTCATTTTTCCTAAAAGAATTTCAAAAACTCTAATCGAAGATCCGGATGGATAGAGTATTCATTCAGCGTTTTATTACCTTCCTTTCCATCACCCTTTGTTTAAAAGTTTCAACAAGTACATCGCTTGTAGTAACAATATATATACCCACTGAAAATAAAAATTTGAAATTCCGCGTTTGCACGCAGGAGTTTGCAAAAATCTGATGGATGTCAGTTATATCCTGCAGGTTTTGACAACATGCTGTCTGACTGAAAATTTTTCTGCACGTTGTCGGATATATCTTGCAGAATATTTTACTCTGCTAACCCTGCGGAATTCTTTCCTCCCAGTTATCACTTTTAGCACGCTAGGTATCTTACTGCTCTGACCCTTCAAGGTCTGTAGGATTTTACCCTGAAGATAAGAAACAATCGCTCGCAGGAAAAGTTATTGCAGGGCCGGCGTTGAAGTAAATATACATAAAAAATGCATTGTTTAAGATAAAAAGCCCAATAAAATTGTTCAGAATAAGCTGAAGGAATGTTCCAAAATATATTTCGGGCACTATTTCACTTTTGCCGGTGTACTGAATTAAAATGATTTTTTTTATATCAAACCAGAGCAATTACAAGAAAACGTTTGTCTTTTATACGTAAGTTGGAGTAATATTGGAAAGTCCGGTAAAAGTGGGTGGAAGAAAGTAAAACAATTTTTTCTCAATGGCAAAGTTTTACCTTTCTAATCAAAAATTATACCACCGTGCAGAGAGTTTTGAGCTCTATCTACCTTGTAAAGTGCTAGTCCTTTAGACATATCCTTGATTAATAAATAACGTGAATCATATTGATTCACTAAGTCCATCGCCTGCAAGTCGAATGAATGTACTGTTGAAATTATTATTCATTCTGTTGTAACTCGATCTTGTTACTACGGAATTGATGCATATTTTTTGCGATCAAAACGTCCATATTTTCTACCTTAGTTTACAGAAGCAGTTGCTATAGCTTTTCACCGGTCAGAAAAGTTTATCAGAGCGACTACGTATTTCGAAACCAAGTATCGAATAGAAGTCAAGTCTATCAAGCCACCATTACTTCATGAATTATGTGACTCTCAAAAGTTTGATAACGTCATAACGTTATTTACTCAATTTGTGTAGTTCATCGAGTTTCCCTAATTTGATTTGCTTTTATCTGTAATTCATTGTCGAAATGGACGTAAGATTACCAAATCTCTCAGTACAATCACACTGCCAGATGACTATCTGTGTGTACGTCCGTCACACTGCCAGATGACTATCTGTATGTACTTCCGTCACACTGATTAGTCACTATATGTTGACAGAATAAAAATTCTGCTTAAAGGTAAGAAACATCGTCGGATATTTTGACACACACAACCCACAGGACTCCTACATAAATTCGTGCGGGATTCTGCATGAATTTCAATTATTTTTTCCAGTGGGCTCCTACGATTATAAATTTACTTTTTAATTCATGCTGTCTAACAAACGATTAACAACACAAAATAATAAATATTCTCCAAAATGACTATCAAAGATAAGAGTGTGTCAATTTCAAATAAATTAAAGTGCCGAAGCGGCTAACAACTACATACCCACTGACACCAAGGCGTCAAAAAAAAATCTGTATCATCTAGAATACTAGATTTTTACTCGATTGCAACTATTGGGTAACGACAATGGAAATCTAGCGATCGCGCGATTGCTAGATTTCTTGTAGTTGCAACTATCCATTTATCGCTCAATAATTGCTCGATTTAGCTACTGCTAGTTGCACATGCAGGCACATCTGTCGATTTTTGCTTGGGCTGTTAACCCTCTCCAGCCGGCTACCAAACCAGAGTTGCAAAAAATTAATTTCTAGTATATTCGGCTTTTTTATACGATGTAAATAAAAAGAATGTGGATGAAACACTGCGAAACTTCCATCTCCATTACTTTCTAACTCGAAAACAGCTTTTCAGTATTAATCTTTATAATTTGCAATGTAGAATACGAGAAAATGACCACTTTGTAGCCCTCAATAGGATGAGAAAAAGACAATTTTTGTTAAATATGTCCGGATCACAGTGGGGAACAACGCGGACATTATACCAAAGAACGAAAATGCACTTTTGCAAGATTCAAATAGCAGGTCGTATACTTCAGCAAACGCTCTATCTTCTTGCCACTGAAAGTTTTTTCTAAGGGTCACAGTTAGTGAGGTAACGCATTTCCAAAAATTAGCTCGAAATCTTGGTGCTTTAAAAAGCGATCTTGTCGTGTACAAAGCAGAAGACATTGAGTTATGAATCGGACATATTCTGAAACTAGAACTTTCAGACTATCGCTTCATGAAAAAGAACTTTTTTCTTAACCTTTCGTGTATGGAAAAATGCTTTTTCTTTCTCCGCTAAGTGTATTCTGAAGTGCGGTTCTCAGTATAGTGAGTTTCCGCAATTTTCCGAAAGTCCAAGCTTGATGAAATTTTCAAAGAATG